GACTAACTAAGTAGTAAGGAATACCGTGTTTAATTAATTATGCTTACTTAACGCAATCGGAACTTCTTTGTTGTTCGACCGTAATTTCTTGCACGTAATCATGCGTTGAATGACGTAAATGACTACATAATGTTCATTATGTTGACTACCACGACTTATGAATGCGCGGATTTGCGACTAATGAGATACGATAACACATTTTGTCGAATCTTGAATACGAAGCTTGATTAGAATTTAAATATATTAGCATTAATGTATTTGTATTAAGTATGTTATAGTAACTATAGTAACCGTAGCTGTGCTAAATGTTACTTTTATATTCATGCGTTGAATATTAGCAATTTTTATTCTTGCATCGCAATCTATTGGGTATTTTGCATAAATCTATCATAAAGGGTATTATTAAATATTATTATAATTATAATTTTAATTTGTCGTATAATTATCAGTACGCCAATTTATATAAAATCTATATAAAAAGATGTTTTAAACTTGAAACATTTAATTAAATGGATAAAATAATATTAAATTTTGTCAATAGTTATTTTTGTTAATAGTCTCTTGTGTCTTCGATGAGAGTTAGAAATTAAAACAATTTGCAGCCGCAATAATATTTGGTTAAATGTATAAACGAGCCATAACGCGCCGCGATAATTAATCAAGAAACTCGTTAATGAACGAAAATGCCGCATACTGAAGTAAATTTCGCATATATGTTCTCGGAAATAACGAATATGTTGAGATGATGTTAACCAACATGTATATGGAGTAACTTCGTATACCAGCCTATTTTACCGCGAAATAAGTATCGTATGTGATCAGTGCAAAAGTCTGTGCTTCTGCAACAATTTTCGCTTAATTAATTTTATGGCATATTTGTCTGAAGTTATCTGCCGGTAGTAGTTGGAAAACACATAAAAGCAGTTTTGCATATTTATTAATTTTATTATCTTCTTTATTGCATTGATATATTTGCACGAAAATAGTTTGTATTTCGTAAAAAAATTACATAGCATAAAAATAATTTTTAAATTTAAATACATGAGAAATGCATGTATTTTAATTTGAAAAAAATGTAAACGTTTATGATGTAATGATGGTCTATAAAGTAAATTTTTATTGCTGAAGTCTTATATTAAAAAATTTAGCATATATGCTAACTGTAGTTAAAACAAATATGACGTACCATGCTATTTAGAAAATTGCTAGAATTTGCAGTTTAATGTAGGTTACTAACGACGTCAAAATCGACCAGAACGGTATAATGAAAGAAAAGAAAATGGATTGAAAAGATAGACTGGTTGATAATATGCGAGATGAGTTTTATTTTGCGATTGACGTAATTGTTCGTGAGACGAATTGAGACTGATTTCGATTATACCGATATATTTGTAGTCTAAGCAACAATTGAGGAAGCGAGAGAGGAAAACACGATCACAAATACTAACGCAGGATTGAAAAACGCGGACTGTCAACAAAACGTGGGCCAGAAAAACTATCGCGAATAGTTTTTTATGACAACAGAAGTCACAGAATTGTATTAAATGATATTTTAATTAAAATTGAGGTAATAGAATATTTAATTATTCGAGATTAAATTAGGGATTGCACAAAAATTGCGATAAACTGATAAGAGTATAACAAATTGGACGACTTTAGTCCAAACACTGCGCGAACATTGATTTATTATACATTTTATGATAAGATATGAGTGAAAATAAAGAATTTGATCGGTGTAAAAGAATATGATCATATTATCTAGTTGTTCAAGATGTTATGTTCGACAGATCAAAAGACACGGTAGTGTTTTACACTAAATTCACGCGCCATACATCAGTGTATATATATTAATATATAATGTATACACACATATGTATACACGCAAGTCAGCCCTCAGACAGTAGATATATTAAATTATCGGATTTTAGCAACGTGTCTGAGCCGATTGAACTCTAAACCCGTATTTATAGTCGTGTTTCGTCTTAGAAACTTAGCTGAAATCAGTTTTGTGCGTGCGACGTGATATATATATATATTATAGATATTATAGATATAAATATGATCTAAATATCGATTTGATATTTATTTTTAAGTGATAGAGAGAGATTGAGTTAAAGTTGGTTCAACCCCCCACAAAAAATATTAAATTTTTGTTCAGTGTAACGAGCATAAAATTTTTAATTTGGATATGAAACCTCATAAATAGCTTTTTTCGGATTATTTATCTTTTACTTTTACAAGATAAGAGGAGAAAGGACAGCTAAATAGGGTTTTTGGCATAATAAAACTTTTACTATATTTACTATTTTTTAAATAACATTTAGAAACAGTTTTTTTTTAGAGCCGATATCTAGTTTACATCATATGTCTTATCTAAACTAAATTCGTATCATATTCGTACTACGAGTATATATATTATTTACACCGCCAGATTAGGCTACTTAGTACGCGAATTTAGTACAAATATAGTACTTGATACTGATACGCGTATCAAACGATCAATATATATTGACTATAATAAAAGCACGAATTTAAGAGGAATGGTTGTAAAACTAAATTAATTTCTATTGAACGGAATAATGGTCGATCATTTACGTCAATTGTCAAAAATGAAAATTCTTGCTGACACGGGTCTTTTGATGATAAACAGTCAACGAAGTTGTGTCGATTGTGAGTAAACATTCCACGGCGATGCTATTCGTGTTAATTGAGCGCTCTTTAAATTACTTACGGTTTACACAAGCAGTTTGTGACACCGAGTTTACATTGTGACGTTTACAAAATTATTCAAAGTGTTATTACGGTTATTACGTGAGAATTGTACGAGCTAATCGATATTTCCATCCATTTACAAACGAATTGAGATGCGAACATTGCATAAGTGGATTTTTAAAGAAATTGTTGAATACTTTTATCACGCCAGATGTCGCTTAAATGTCTCGGCTGTAAAAAACTCTTTCTAAATGTTATTTAAAAAATGGTAAAAGTTTTATTTTGAGATATATTTATATCAAAATAAAACTACTTTTATATTATTTATATTTATACTTTTTAGAAAATAGACAATGTACTTTTAATGGCATTTTTAATATTTAACAATATTTATAACATTAAATAATTTTGAATTATTTTAAGATACATTTACTATTCAATCGATGCAATACAAAGAAATAGATTGTATACTTATTTAAGACTGAATTTTTTAAATCCATGTTTTAATTTTTTATCATCTTCGTGTCATTATTTATTGATAAAAGACAAATACTGTCGGTTTCTTAGCCTTGGAGGTGCATAACAGTAAGAGATCGCACGGTGAAGGGCAAAAAAGCTACGAAAAATAGCATTTCAGTGACTTTAGGTGGCGAGAGTGGACGAAGACGTATCGATTATCCCGTTCGGCTTTGCGCAAACGAGACCACATCGCAGCGCGAAGCGTGATCGAAGATAAAACTACGCTTCGGATCTACACAGAAAGAGGAAGTTGAAGTCTTTTCCTTGGAACTTTTTTTGTTCTTTGGGAATAAAACTCTAGGGACGACTTAATCATCGCCAAGCGTGAATTGAGCGAGCGAATAAAATGCTGTCCTCTTATTTGTGAATCTTTTGCGAAAAAGAGTCGGTATCATGACGATGATAAAAGATCAGATTATTACTTTCTGAAATTTTTATAAAAGTAATGTTATTTTGATTTTAGAAATATAATCTTAACGTAGTCATGTAATTATATATTTTTGTCATAGTTTTCAATACATTCTACATTTATCTTAAGAAACAATTAGTAAATATAAATAAATATTAAATTAATTTAATATGGTTTTTTTTAGAAAAGAAGACTTATTAATAAAAATTTATTTGTAAATTTTTCTTAGAGTTTCTTTATCTGTTTTAGTTTATTCTTTGCTAGGAACATTTTCTTTCAAAGTAATTAACATTAATCACTTTAAGGCAAATTTGTTATTTATAGTAACACACACACACACACACACGCGCGCGCGCAGAGTAGTAACAGTAATAGTAGCAGTAATAGAGCATGTGACTGATTTTATATTATATCTGATAGAACTGAAAGTGCAATGGGTGCGTGGGAAGGGAGGGAAGGAGAAGAGAGCGTATATTCGAAAGAAGCATGTCCTGAGAATATGGCGGGAATTTTGCCGGAAGCAGAAAGCAATTCCATTCTTCCGAGCCGCGACCGCTCGACAAATTATCGACGACGAAAACCTAGCGTTTTTCCTCTGCGTCTTTTTCTCATAATTCGTCCACCTTCCAGACATGTTCCAAATTTTTCAAGTCATATTTTTGATAAAAGCATTGCATTTTGTCAGGACAATATTACATACCGAGTACAGTAAATTTTATATAAGTTTTTAAAAGCTTGTTTTCAGCGAATTATTTATAACGAGCGAGAATAATAAAATTTGCACACTATTTAAGCAGATTGATTGAGCGATAGATTGTTCTACGGCAAAGAGCCTTTCTCTGTGCCTTAAGTATTAACTATAACTAGTATACTGTGAAAAATATATTTTTATGCGCAAAGTATCAGAGGCAAATGGGTGATATAGATTGGTTTTACGGCGTAATAAACGGTAGATGGCATAGTATAAACTATATCTGAGCTTTACACGATGACGGTTCTCGCAGCAAACATTGTGAGCGCTGCAACGACCGTCTTATCTGCGAAAAGGTGTTTTAACTTACAGTTATATTATAAACTTATGGTCGCACACATATACACATATTAAAAGAGAATTTAATGATCGATGTAGGATTCGTAATTATGGCAATTATAAAATTATACATACCACTGTTATTAACTCTTATATCATAATAATATTGCATACTTTGGTCATTAAAAATTATTATCTTTTTAAAAAAGGTTAGGGTGAACTATTGCTTTACTGTATTAAATATTATAACTCATTAAATCTTTAAATAGATTTTTAATTATCTAATTGTTTAATCGAACATTACATAATATAGTTATGTTTGTGTTTCAGTGCGGAGGCTTTCCATGTGTCGAGAGTATCAATAAGCGCAAGTCGACAAGGGTGAGTGATATAATTTTTTAAATAAATCAAGAATAAGATATTAAAGTAATACATAATAAATAACAGTGAGTATACATACAAATAAAACAGTCTAAAAGTAAAAAGAAAATAGAATTTTTCAAGATAATGTATACTTTGATCTCTTATTCTTGAAATAGTTGAAAACCATTCTTCAAAAGTTGCATAATAATAAACTTATAAGTGCTGAACAATTTAAAAATTACAAGAAAGGCAATGAGAACGAACAAAATTTGATACACGTACGATTATTTTGTTTTTTAAATCATTGTGCCATAAAACTACGTGCGCGATAAAGCCGGCAAACAGATTTCATGCGCGAGTGAATATGCTCGCAAGAGGAGTCGATATATCGGCTTTTCGGTCGGGCGTTGTCGTACAACAATTTTTGTTGCTCCCCGCTCTAGCGCGTCAGTTCTGTTACGCGACACGCGGAATGGCCGAGTTTCGGATTAATATCTCGTAAGACAAGCATATACGCCGCGGATGCGTTGTATGCACCATGTTACATTCAATCAGGTGCGCTCCGAATTGCCAGTGGCAAACAACGCGCGGTTTCTACGTACATATGTCGACTACATAGTTAACTGCAGTGTACGAGTCAAGTTGCTTTGACCTACTATCGTATCGATCAATTATTAAGGAGATTTAGATAATCTGATTACACAACAAAAACTAAGTCGACTATCGATCTTTGAGCGCTTTGAAAAAGAGACTCAAAAATATAGGTTTGCAAAAATTTAACCAAACTTTATCATACTTTATCACTTTAGATATACAAAGATCTGCGAGTAATTCCCTTTCAAGATATTGCTCTTTAAAGTTTCATATTTTATTATTGTTATTCACGAACAAACAGCGTTTGTTCAAAAGGCGCGTTCTATTCTTATGCGATTGCGACTCTCTCTCTCTCTCTCTCTCT